TCTTTTAGAAAAGTTATTATCGCCCTCCCCTTGTCACGGTCCCGGCTGGGGCTGGACGTTAAGTACGGCTCCCTCGCCTTGTTGGCTTCCAGCGCCTCGCGGCTGCAGGTGGAGTGCCGCAAGGCGGCGCCCTCGGAGCCCGGGGCCCCCGCGGTGGACTACCAGCTCCTCACCCAGCAGGTCATCCAGTGCGCTTAGGACATGCCCAAGGCCGCCAAGCAACTGGTCACCATCACCACCCGAGAGAAGAAACAGTGACCCGGCCCCGGCGTGGATGCAGGGGGGGGGGGGGAAGAGGAGGAGGGAACGTATGGATGCACGCGGTGGGGCCGGGAGGAATGGGAGGGGCTTCTGCAGCAGGTGCAGGAGTGTGAACGCCAGGTCACACTCTAGATGTGGGGAGAGGGGAGGGAGTTGGGAGAGTGCCGGGTGTGCAGTGAGGAAAGAAGAAGTTTGGAATATGCACAGAAAAGGGTCGGTTGATCCATCGTCTGGTGGTCACACTAACAGAGGACCGGAAAGGGAGAAATCACCCAACTGGGGAAGAGAAAGGTGGCATAAACGACGGAGATCCGCCGTCCCGAGTCACGTGTGAATAATAAAGCGCCACCGACTGTGATGAGCATACGTGAAACCCGCCGACGGAGATGTACAGAGAAACCAGAGACGTCAGCGCTTTATTTATTCCCACCTGTCAGTCGTCGGCCCGCCCCCTCCCTGTTTACCTGAGCTAGAGAGAGAGGGCGGGTGCGCCGCGAGAGAGGGAGGTAAATATCGCCATGACATACCCCCAATCATCTCCACCCCCCCATCGTCGGTGGTACCCAGCATGACGCGGCATGTTTTCTCTCCTCTTTTGCTCTGTTTCGACCGGTCGGGTCTGCGCCTCCCGACTGACTCGCACCAACAAAACTTACACTGGATTTACTTACATTTTCTTATCCTTGTTGTTTATAATGCATCATGTTTTTGTTTTTATCGATATTTTTACTGTCATCTTGATTTAACTGTTTATTTTATCGTCTCAAATGGGATTTAAAGAAACACGCACAGACACGCACACACAAAATAACCTGTGAAACGGCCCTCGAGCTTCCTCGACGGGGTCCCGTGGCCAAGGGGGGGGGGGTCGAGTGTTTGCCAAATGGGAGAAGTTTGGGATGGAAAGTCCTGGTCCCGTATCCTCAGCCGACTCATCCCATAGTTTGCCTCGTTTAACAGAGCCAGTGGAATCATCTCAGAATCAATCCCACAGGAGGATATGTAGCCCCCCGCCCCCCCTCCCCCACCAGCCATTATAGCATCTGATGCACATCCTGGCATGTTACAGTTACACTACAAGTTGTCCCGTGGAAAGCTCCAGAAGAGCAAATGTGACGAGGGATACAAACCTCCTCAGGCGGCTCGACCTGCTCCGCCATGAGTTCTGTCCACTCCTCAGACGGCCTGGCGAGCCACCATCGAGCCCCCCCCCCCCGCGGCGGCGTATATTTTGTTTTTAAAATACAAAACCTTTTAAGGGAGAGAAAATAAGGTGCGCCCCCCCCCCCCCCCGTCTGCTTCATTTCGTTGTCCAGAGGACTAGTGAAATAGATCCCCGTTTGATATCGGATGCCTTTGGACGTCATCATCATCTGACTGGCCGAGTAAGTGATGTTGTCCCGAAAGAAAAACCTACAAACACAAATGCACACGGGGGGGTAATGTTTGCCCAAGTTCTAGACTAGAGCCATATATATATATATATATATATATATATATATATATATATATGGGCGTATATTTTCATGCTATATTTTATATTAAGCTATATGTTGGGAATGTCTGCGAGATATTTCTGTCTATTTGTCGGCCCGAGGGGGCTTCGGGGCCACCGGATCTTTCCGGTTCCTCGTCCTAGCGCCTCGTCCTTGACACCCGGCGGACATGGTGAGTCTGGTGGGCGCGGTCGTGCCGTCGCATCGGCCCCTCTACGCGTCGGGGTCGCACACATCGGCGCCGTGCAGGAGCTACATCGCGCGTTCAAGGACGCAGCGTGACAGGACGAGGCGGGAGGCCGGAAGCCCACTGGGGATTCGCACTACTCATCTCAAAATGTCCAGGGAGGGAGGGAGGGAGGGAGGGAAGTGAGGGGGGGGGGGTCCAAAATGCACATGGGCCGGCCCTTTCCCAGTCAGTAGACACTACGGAGGGGGCCTCTAGTATGAATGTTAAATGCCTCCTATGGTTCATGTCCAACACACGGCCTCCACTTTCATCATGTCCAACATTCAGCACATGCTCTCAGACACACACACACACACACACACGCACACGGGGGCAGTGCACTGTGGCCTGTACTGTTGCTGTCCCTGTGTTTCTTCACGGCTCTACACTTTTGGGAGACGGGCGACGGGAGAGAAGCGTCTTTTAACAGACGACGTTCAGAAGTGTATAAAGTAGATGAACGACTTAAAGAGGTCAAACGTAATGGAAAACTCATAAGCTGTACATTTGTAATAAAACGGTAAAACAAGCGGATTGTGCCGAATCTGTTTACACGTTTCTGATGTGTGGCTGCTCCGACTTTGATTGCATGCCTTTAGTAGTATTCCACGCCATTGACCCACATTGTTTGTCTCATTTCTAGTGTTAGCGGCCATTCATTGTTGAGCTGGTTCCACACTGAGCTCTGTGTCCTCATGGAGACAATCCAGCTACTATTTCACAGCTTTTATTTCCATCAGCAAGCTCACAGAAAAGACGTAGTTACAATACGAGCATTTAAAAACCGGAGGATCTGTTTTTATTGTACCATGTGGCCCCTGTCTGTACATATTTAGGTCACCACTTTGCAAAGTGACACGTTAACATAAAAAAAAAACATCCCTTTGATTGTTTGAGGAAATAAGACTCCCTTCCTTTTGGGAAATGTTGAGCTCATACAAAGACATTTATAGATTTAAAAATAGCTTTATAATGTGCTTTTCCCCCCCAGTACCGTTGCATCCCACTAGATGGCGCTCGGATTCCCACCAGAGGTGAAGAAAAGCCGCTGTAAGCTAAGTACACTCCACAGATGGATTGTCTAGGAGTGAGTGGAGGAGGACCGGCAGCTCGTCTTCGGGCCGCTTCCTTCCTTCCTTCCTTCCTTCCTTCCTTCAACAATGTTCATCTGAGCTCGAGGAGCTGGGCAGAAGAACACACTCCGGTCTTCTGCCCCGTTTCCGCCTCTTGCTGCCCGCCGGCAGCCTCCTGCGGATCACATCTAGAGGACACACACAGATAAACACACTTAAACTTCCTATGCATGCACACTACAACACCCCTAGACCTCCACCCGAGGGCGCTCACGCTTCCATCCGACCTACCCGCCACGCTGTCGTAGTCCTGCTGCGGGTCGCGCCAGTAGAGGCTGGGCATGGTCCTCCAGTGGCGGTACAGGCGCGTGTGGAGCACCGACAGGGCCAGGAGGACGAGCAGGAAGCCCAGCGCTGCTGCCGCCCACACCGCCTCGTCCGTCCTGAGGGTCCTCGGCGCCGGGTTCTGCCGGCGTTGCGGCTGCTGCCGCTGAGGTTCAGAGGTGGAATCAGTTGTTTCACTTCTGTGATGAGAGTGTGCGTCGCTGTGTGTTTTTGCCAACTCTCTCTCTCTAACACTTACTACTTCCTCATCCTCCATTCTGTCCGCGGCGGCGACGCCGTCGCTCCGTTGGACTTGACCCGCTTTGGAGCTGACGACCTTCAGGCCTTCAGGCCTGGCAGTCCTGTGTTGTTCCCTGTTCACACCCCCTGCAAGAGCATCCAGCCCAGCAGGGGGGTTCGGGTGGGCTTCAAGCTGCTGCGCTGCCGGTTGAGGCGACCCGTCAGAGGTTCTGGGCCCGGCTGTGAGGCTCCGATTGGTGTTTCGTGTCTTGGACTGAAAGGGAGCTGCGGTAGAACCTGCAGGATCTGCAGATGCTCCAGGTGTCGAGTTGTTGTTGTGGGCGGGCCCTGTCCTGCTGATGGGGCTTCTTCTGGTCTGGTTTGCCTTTGCGTCTTCTCTCTGGTTCTCCTCCCCGCGTTTCTCCTGTATTTCTTCCGCGGCGGCTCTTAAAAACCTGCGCTTGCCGTCCTCCTTCATTTGCCTGAAGCTTGCACTCGCTCTGCTGGACTGCCGCTCTGTCTCCATCCCTCCTTTCAGAGGAGAGGACATGATCCGCTTAAAGCATCGCCTCAGAGACTCCTGTGGGGGGTTTACAACAACAGCTATTTAGGGACCTCCACCGGGCCAATCATCCTCCCCGCACTACGCAAATAAACATCCAAACCGTCACGTTGGCCGAGCTCCCCTCTGGATTTGCACGCCGGCGCTCGGCCGACCGGGTCAGCAGCAGGTCGTAGCCGCGGCTCTGGCCCTCGTCAACGGGCCGTCTTCTGCCGGACGCCGTGGTCTCCAGCCAACCGCAGATGTCCGAAGAAGCCGCGGTGGACAGCTCCAAGGTGCGGCCCCACGACACCAGGGCTATCGGCTGAGCGCAAAGCAAACCGTCAGCGTTAACTGTGCAGCGAGCATTCGGCTGGGCGGACGGAGGGGAAAGCGAGCTCGCCGGCCTCACCATGTGCTCCTCGAGGTGGGGGTGCGAGGTCACGACGTAGTGCGACAGGCAGGACCGGGCCAGCACCGACAGCAGCAGACGCTCTTGCAGAGGAGCGCAGGGATGGTAGAGCAGCACGGTCGCTCCGCGCTGGTCAACGCACACAGACACGAGCGCACACGTCAACACCCGCAGCGCCGCGATCGCATTCCCTCCTTGTTTGTTATTTGTGTTTTCAGCTGATAAACATCTGGGTTCCTGCTGTTGAATAGACATTCCTGACATGCAAGGAGTGTTTGCTTTTAAAATTGGGGATTTGCCAATCGGCTTCTTGAGAATCTGAGAAGGAAACCACACGATGATGGTGTCTCCAACGCAACAGTTTGATGCACAATAATGGCAAAAAAAAAACTTGCGTCTTGTGTTCTAGATTGGGGAGTAATGCAGAAGGGACTTTGGGCCAATTGGTGACTCAGCGCCAGTATTGTATTCTACTGACAAAGGATTATCTTGTCTTATCTTGCTGTCAACCACTGCACTTCTCAATGCCTCTGTCAACTATTACGTCATCACTTCACATGGAAACTTACTGCTACATAAAGGAGCAGTGTCTTCAGCTTCCAGCACTAATCGGTATTAAAGGCATATTGAGCAGACAGACAGACGGTCACTGTGAGAGGGCAGACGTGTTCGACGTTTGAGACTCACGTGCAGGTTGTTGAGCCACCGCTGAGGAGGACAGTACAAGTACTCGCCGCTCTCGGCCCCCACTGGTCTGTACGCTCCACTGGGACACACACAGACGCAGATAAAGACACACATGGGAATGCCCTCATAAAAAGCACAGCAACTGAAAGTAGAAGACCTTAAAACGGGTTTTCTGTGAACAAGGGTGCACGTATGAACGCGTGTGCATGTTTCACATCTCCACACCTTCTATCACCTGTGTGTCCAAACCACCTCACCTGTTGGGGATGGCGTGAGTGTAGGAGATGGATTCATTCATGCAGATCTTCCTGGCCGGCTGTCAGAAGAAATTCTTTAGTTGTTTTGCTGGTTGGCGACAGAGTCACACAGAGCAGTTTGCAACCTTTTGTTTGTTGGCAACAATAACACGACGAGGAGGGCGTCTTCGGTATCGCCACAGTCGCTTTCTGCAAAGCTTCCGTCTCATTTCATGCGTTGCGTGAGTGTTGTTTTTCCGTGGGGCTGAAGGTTAGATGAGGTGCTCTGTAAAGTGTTTACTCACCACCGGGTCGTACGCAGTGTCAACGCTGGCCAGTCTCTGCAGACATCGGAGACAAACCTGTCAAACCCCTGATTGAGCAAATCTGAACAAAACCATTTCTGACCTAATCTACTAACCCATTGCATTAGCATTTCATTTTACTTTATTTTGTAACTTGTGCACTGCTGTCTTGTTGTCTATTATCACACTGTCTACTGTCTCGCACCAACCGCCAAGACAAATTCATTGTATGTTTGACATATTTTGGTAAATAAATGTTTCCTTTCCTTCTGTGAGCCAAACACCATTGTTTAAAACATCATTCCAGCACATGGAACGGATGGAGGGGAAAAGCTCTGCGGGAGAATGCGAGCAGAGCGACGATGCTGGGGGGGGTGATGACGAGGCGGTCGCTTGTTTCCATAGTTACCCGAGTGGAGGACTCCGGCCATATGGAGCCCGGACAGTCCCAGTGAGCAGCAGCCAGGTCCCTTTCCAAGGAGAGCTAGAACGCACGCACACGCACACGCGCACTGCATTTATTACATCGTAACAATGACTCGACCGGTACCGAACTGTGGGTTCCTCGTTACCTTCCCGTCGTCGCATCGCGGCCCCGCGGCCCCGAACAGAAGCGAGTCGCTCCACAGGGCGGCCAGCAGCGCCAGCGCCGCGGACCCGGTTCGGCTCGACATGGTTCGGGTTTAACGTTGGGTCTCCGTCGTGGGGTCGTTGACGTGGACCGTCTGCGGCTGACAAACGAACGGAGGGATCATGATAAGAGGCTATTGACCATAAGACCGGTTTTATTTTGTTGGACCCACGGCGGAGGAGGGACGGTGTGACGACGGCTGCGGGGCGTCCCGCAGCTAAAGCTAAAGCTAGCTCGTTTACTCTTTCGTTGGAAAGGTGAAACATAAGAGGATGTCGCCTAGTTAACGCGAAAAGGGTTATAAAAAGTCCTGTTTACCTCCATAATTTAACTCCACGTTTCTCCGCCAGTGTGTGATATACAGACGTCAAGCTTCCGGTATCGTTTAACGATGACGTTTCCTTATGCTTTTCAAAATAAACAGCTCGGTTGTCTTGTATCGACTTAATTCGCCCATTTTTGCATTCAATACTCGTATGATCTTACGTGTAACGAGTAGCTGTTCATAGGACATTGAATATCCACCTACAGACCCGTGTTTGTGGTTAGATAATTAAATCATTTAAATTCTAGTGTTCTTTTATTCTGAAATAAAAAGAATTTCCGGTATTTTTGCACTCTCTCTTCTTACTTAACTAAACTGCAGAAGCTTAAAACGACTGGACTATCAAAAGGTACACGGACCGAGTGTACTTCCCTTGTTGTACACGGTCTATGACAGTACTGTCCCCGTGGGTCAAACTCTGATTTGACGCTGATTGGCCTCTTAGGGACGACCGCTAAAGGCCAAAGCAAACAAGTCCATCGGGGCCCCAAACCCACTGGGGGCCCAAAGGCTCCGGGCTTACCTGCTTGTGATCATTCATTACAATATTGTTACTCTGAAGTAATTAAGCTCGAACCCACACGCATGAAAGATACTATATTGGTGAGGGGCCCTTAATTAAAAGGCATTGACGAGTTCAATCTACATAGATCCAGAAATTACATTTATATCTATAAATTGGACTGTGCCCCTTTTTCGAAATAAGAGTCTGCTAGTCTATATATTGCTCGCCATATTTCTACTGCAGTGTGTAGTGTCTTTCGATGTGACCACGTTGCGGTCAAGCCAGCCTTCACTTTGAAAAAAAGCGACGCCGCGTGTTTTTCTGCGGGGCGCGTGTGTATCAGGCGTTACGGTAAGTGATTTCAAAGTAAGAGCCTGTGGATTCCAGAGAACAGGACAGGGCGTGTCACATTCAATTGATAAGTCAGTCTGTACGTCTTTATGTCATAGATTAAGTAACTGAATCTGAATATCAAAGACGTAAATGAATGATAAGTAACTAAATGAAGATATACAAAATTAAACATTTAAAACTCAATAATTACCACAGACAAACTTTTTTAAGGTAAATGGTAATTCCAATGTGAGAATACCAACTCAAAATGATAAAATAAAGAATACATGGGGAGACAGCCGTGTGACTTAGTACACTAAACCAAATTCAGAAACTACAAGGTTACACAAAGTGATTAGTTTCATTAGGGATAGATAGCAGACTACCCAAGAGAACATCAGGAGATTTGTATCTAGAATTTCAAAATAAAAGTCCTTTATATCTCAGAAATCAAATATCTATCATTCTAATATCAATATTCTCACAGATTCCTACTATTCCAATAAAGGAACAGTGTGTAAAAAGAGGGATGAATTGGCTGAAATTGAATATAGTATTCAGAACTATTATTGTATGACTCCTTCAGGGAAGCTTAGATAAAGTCCTCTTTTCATGGGTCTTTAATTGTCATTATGCCACACAGTGATGCGCAGGGAATTTCTGTCGTATAGCCCATTTATGTCACGTCAAACACAAAACAAAAATGGTAACCGTGTAGTATCAGGATGTCCACCTATACAGAATGTAGAAGGAGCAGCAAAAAGAATTAGTCAAGTTGTGGATTCACCAGTAACACAACCTTACACACTGTTCCTTTAGGCATGAGAAGGTTAACCCAAAATCCATCAAGATAACTAGATGTTACACTTACTATTCCTCTAACTTTGATTGATTGATTGATGTAACTCAATAGATATGTTGTTCAGGAATCAGGAAACATTTATTGCCATAATATATCAGACATACATTTGACTTGGCGGTTGGTGCGTAACAGTAGACAGTACAACAATAGACAACAAGACAACAGTGCACGAGTAATAAAATAAAATAAAATGCTATGGGTTAGTAGTATAAGGCTATGGGTTAGTTTAAAATAAAATAATACAAGTTAAAAAAAATAAAGTAAAGTTGCTCTTTATGCATGTTTGAAATCGGTTCACTGTCTTTATAAAACTTCTAGTAAATCACAACTGCGTGCACAGATCGCAGTAAAAGTATTCGTTGTCCATAACCAACCTGACAGCAGGCGGAGCAGGTGTTTAGATCATTCAGTGCCTTGCACTGACAAGTCTGGCCCGTCAAAGTGTTTTTACAGGAGTAGTACCTGCCACAGCTGCCTCAGGTATGAGAAGACATTTAAAGCAACAAGCAAGACCTAGGTGTAAATCGTTGTTGCTTTCAAAATAAAACCAGCTGGATAAAAATCGCCCGTGAAGAAGAACCGTACAATCGTTCAGGTTATGGTTAAGGTGTTATGGCTCAGATAACAAAGTAATGCAACTTTAGCTGAAAAAAGGAAATGTACATAATGAGTACGTATTTGGTCATGTTAAACGTTGTATTTCAATATGGGTTTTATTTTGAAACTTGGGAAGGGACGTCTCTCTAACTTTGGAGTTAGTTACACCTTGCTGCGTCCCACCCATAAAACCTGTGTGCATTTGCCATAAAAGTGCACAGGTGGGTCTGTGAGACGTGGACAGAGGACAGCTACGGACCCAAATGGAGAGCAAGACTCCGTCCAAAGGTTTGCTGCCTTTTTTAATATGATTTTCTTTGCTGACATGATAAACCATTTCAGAAAGATCGCTAACGTGACAGATGGGATATTTACACTAAACAATTACCTTTTTGTTTTTACTGTTACACGTGTGACCCTTTTCTGGACGGTGGTACTAGTTATGAAACTGGATAGATGAATAGACAAAGTAACCGCTCAAGCGCTTTCAGATTCATGCAGCACCTTTTATGATTGCTTTTTTTTCCTCTTCCATTTCTGAATCTGTCGGTCCGATGAAGGAAGTCGGATAGTAAGGAAGTTCATGCTGCCACAGATCCTCCGTAATGATACTGATCAGCTGAGCTCTGAGGATGCAGAATTACAAAATCTCTCACCCTGTACCGTGCAGGTCCTGTCGGAGCAGGTGCCTGTGGTCTGCAGCCCCTTCCTGAGGTAGCCGAGCCCGAAGACCTGAGCAATGTGGAGGGCAGCAAGTGCCAACCCGGACACCCTGCAGGGGCAAGAGATGCAAAGGTGAGCAGGAGGGGCATTTTAAACACACACAACGATCATTTGAATAACAGGTGAAAAGACCTTTGCCACTTAACTGTCCGTTATTTTTAGTTATAGTTATAATTTCATGGCTCTTTAAAAAGATGCATAAAAAACGTTCACTGGCAACTGCAGGATTGTGAATTTCAGTAAAGAGGATCAATCATAATGCTGTTTATGTGTAATTATCCCAATCAGACAAAATTCGAAAGACCATTTGAGGGACGTAGTAGATAATATGTGCTTTTTTATTTTTGTTAATCACCAGGAGGTGCACTCATTGGACAGCTCTCCGTCTTCCTCGGAGAGCGAGGACGAGGGTCTCTGCAAGAAAGACAAGAAGAAGAAAAAGCTGAAAAAGAAAACAAAGAAGAAGAAGAAGAAGGTAAGTGTCTCAGGAAGGTTATCTCGACTGCCATGATCGAGTATTTTCTTTTTCATAGTCCGCCAACGAAAGTTGGACAGACTGTGTTGGGACGGTGCTGCTGACGGACACTCAGTCTGCTCGTGTCTTATAAGATGAACTCAGTCGTTCCTGTGGCTTCCTGAGGGCGGCCCCTTGATTGTAGGCCACAACGTGTGAGGCCGAAATCATATGAAATCATAATGCAGACTAACTGTCACTCTTGCTCTGATTGGCCGCAACGTGTGTGTGAGTCCTCCTGTGTGTCGATGTGATAAAACCGTTTATTTTGTGTGTTGCTATGTGCACAAAGAGGCCCCCTCCCTTGTGCTACAAGCCTCGCCGCAGTGTGTTCATAGTGACTCATTGGTTTAATTTCCAGTCGATCGCTTTCATCAACAAAAGAAGGTGTCAAAATAAAACCTGTTCAATTAACAACTGCTTCTTTCTCAATAGGATTCCAGCTCATCCTCTTCCTCCTCCTCCTCCTCCTCCTCCTCCTCCAGTAGCTCTTCAGAGAGTGACAGCGAGGTGAGTTGAGGTTACGGCACGGGGGCGGGATCACGTGGTCAAATAGACACAATAGACATTCTGATGACATCAGGACCGCAGAGAACCTTCACACACCTCTTCAGACTCTACCTCGACTAAAGGACTAACAAATTGCAGCACTTAAATTGTACTTATAACGCCACTTATCTATTGCAAATTGTAAATTGGCTTATTTGAGGAAATTGCACTTTCTTGTTTCTTGCTCGTCTGAGTTTGTACCCTTATGGTCGAATGCACTTATTGTAAGTCGCTAAATGACATGTAATGTAATGGAACATAACATGCATCTCAAAACCACAGAGTCCTGCCTGAGACGCACTCGTGACGACGGACGCGTGTTGTTTTGCAAAGTGCGGGGTGCTTGAAGCGAAGCTCCAGTTATTCTCTCAGTTGAAACCAACTTGGCTCCTTTGCAACGAGTTCGACGGGGCGTTTTGTTCATGCAAATCCTTTGTGAATCATTGCTAAATAAGGCCCTTCACCATCAGCTCAGCCCTTCTAACAATGCCGCTGCCTCAGGTTGGGATTTGGTCCCAGCAATATGCAAACGATGGCCTTCCAATTGAACATTACTTTTATTTTATTTTGGCAAGTTAGCGAATCAGCAAATCAAGCCACCCGGGGTTGCGATTCGCCAACCGTTTCAAATTAATATAATCTTTCTATCTGGTTTGAACAGCGTTCAGCTTCAAGTGATTCAATCACACACCAGTTGTCCTGCCGGTTTTTCTTAAGGTGTGGGCGGAAAATCAGGTGATTCAGGAAAAGTGAACCACTCAGGTGTCCAAAGCGTTTGACACATGAGACGGAAACAACGCCTGCATTCCACAAATGGGCCACCAGCCTTTGTTTCCCCCCCGTGGGATCAGACCAACCTCTTGGCTTTAACAAGCATCGAGACAACAAAATATACCACAGGAGTAAAAAGAACGCAGTTGGAGTGGATTTCCAACTGGGCACACGTTGTGTGACGATGTGTCACACAACGTGTGCATCCAGCACACGATGCTACCATGTCATATACTGTAAGTACGCAGTACGTACCTAACAAAAGGCTGTTGTGCATTGCAAGCACACACGCACGCATGAGTGTGAATGTTTAAACTGCTTTTTGCAGTCACTTTGGATGTTTGTTATCTGACTGTATTGAGGGTGGATCGTTCTTAATGAATAACTAGCAGGTGACAGCCAAACCTAATCCTGATGACTTTATCTGTATTCCTATTTGCCAGTGTAACACTCACTTTGCAAACAGGCATCATACTCTTTCAGATGTCTAAACATGCTGGTATGAAATAAGAAATGTCTTTGCAGGATGACAAGAAGAAGAAGAAGAAAAAGCAGAAGAAGGACGAAGGGCAGAAAGAGTGTGTCCGGGACGATGTTATCATATGTAGTAAGTACAAAACATTTCTCATTCATGATGCAAATTTTCTGGTTCTTTGCAAGAAGTTGGTTTCAGTTCAGCGCTCCTCAGTTTAATCTTTGTAGCACAGACGTCGGCCTCTTGGGGTTTTGGAGGTGGTGTCTTGCTTGTCTTATAAGAGCAACTTGGCAAATGTTATTTTAGATCATTTCATGGCCGTAATGACATTGAACAACTCATTGTGCTTTTGAATCCGCCGAGGTGACCATGTGATTCAAGAAAGAAAAGCCTCTCAGCTTAAAACAAGGGGTTGATTTACATTTGAACTTATTGAATGTTCTCAGGTCCTGGTGGCCAGATGGAGCAGCCGGGTGCAGAAGGTGCAGAAGGTGTGAAGATGAGCCAGGTGACAGAGATGAATTAAACCTTCTTCCTTTTTACCGACATGCTTTTTGCTGGTAAAGTCGTCATGGATTTCTTTTGTCTTGCTTCAGGATTGTAACTCCTCAGATGGTGAAGATGACAAGAAGAAGAAGAAGAAGAAGAAGAAGAAGAAGAAGAAGCAGGACAAGAAGAAGAAGAAAAAGAAGAAGGTATGTACACATATTTTGTGATTTGTAAGTTTGTAAAAGTGAGCCCCCCGAAAGGATCTGGTTTATTGATCCATATATTCAATAATACATGAAAACAATACAAAATTAATATGTGAATGACTTTGTTAATGTTATTAAATATCTATTGCACTGTCTCTGTCCCAGGATTCGTCTTCTTCCTCATCTGACTGTTCCTGCTCCGACTGCGAGGACGAAAAGAAGAAGAAGAAGAAGAAGAAGAAGAAGAAGAGGAAGAAGAAGGCATGATTTGTTTGATTATATGTATAGTTTTGATGTTGGGCCTCAACTGCCTGTTCGACTTGTAAATATAAATGATCAAAACTGATTCAATAGTTTTTTTCTGCTTTTAAAGGACTCAAGCTCCTCTTCCTCAGACAGCTCTTCATCATCCTCTGACAGCGAGGATGACAAGAAGAAAAAGGACAAGAAGAAGAAGAAGAAGAAAAAGAAAGACAAGAAAAAGGTAAAGTAATGTCTTTTGTCTAAATGAGCCTCTTTCTTCTTGGGATATAAAGTATTTACTTCCACTACTAATCAGACTGGAAGGAGTCTTCACAAAGTGTACAGTGACACACATACAATTCAAATTCCTCATTTGATGGAAATTAAATAACTGTGTAATTCCTGACTTTTATTTTCTTAAACAGGATTCCAGCTGCTCGTCTTCATCTTCATCTTCTGACAGTGATAAAGATGAGAAGAAAAAGAAGAACAAGAAGAAGAAGAAGAAGAAGAAGAAGAAGAATGACAAGGAAAAGAAGAACAAGAAACACGTAATGCATCCTTCTGTTTAAAAGCCAGAAGCCTCTCAATGATTTAAACGCGCAGTGAACCTGAACTCGGCTCCATGTTTCCACAGGATGAAGAGCAGAATGAGCTCTGCGGTGGAGCTGCTCCTCCAGCTTCTGGTGAGTGTTTTTCTGCAGGTGGTGAGACTCCGGGACCAAGTGCTGATGGAGAGAAAAAGAAAGACGATTCTGCCGACAAGGTGAAATACTCACACACACTCACGCACACACACACACTGTGTGTGTACAAAAACATTTCCGCTCAATCGCACAAAAAACTCATCGCTTTCTTTTGTCTCGACAGGTCAAGAAAGAGCCTAAAGAAAAAGAAAAATGTAAGGAGTCGTCTAAGAGGCGGAGGCAGAGGTCAGGGAACGTTTCGTTGGTGTGGTGGTAACGGCGCGTCCTCTCCAACAGGTGGAGCAAAGGCCTTCGCTGACGCTATTGAGGAAGGCCACCTGAGTGACGACGAGGGAGAAGGAGAGAACCACAAGAAGAAGAAGAAGAAGATGCTGAAGAAGAAGAAGGAGAAGGTGCTCATGATGCTGGAACCTTCAAACAGAATGAAACTTGTATTTGATCAAATCTTTACATGTTCTGGGTTTTATTACAGGGTTCCGGCTCATCATCAGACAGTGATGACGACGAAGAAGACAAGAAGAAGAAAAAGAAGAAGAAGGAGAAGGTAAAGTTTTTTTTTAATGTTGTACTATTACATCATACGAATAAATGCGGATGTTTATGGTGTGTGTGCCGCATGGGTGAATAAAAAAGAAAAGAAAATGTGAACATATCAATGTGAATATTTGTATTTTATTGGATCCATAGGACTCCTCCAGCTCCTCCTCTTCGTCTGATAGTTGCTCCTCAGATAGTGATGAGGACAAGAAGAAGAAGAAGAAGAAGAAGAAGAAGGTTTGTATGATATACATTTCTGTATATTACGTATATTATTCATGTACGAGTAACGTTAAATGTTATATTATATCGTCGTTATATCTCTGTCTTTACAGGATTCTGGATCCTGCTCGTCTTCTTCATCCTCTGATAGCGAAGAGGACAAGAAGAAGAAGAAGAAGAAGAAGAAGAAGAAGAAGAAGAAAAAGAAGAAGAAGATGAAGGATAAGGTTTGTGTTTACAACATGTCTGAATATTACATTGTGTGTACCTTTCCTGTTATTATACTGTGATTTTACATCATTGTATCTTTCTCTTAACAGGACTCCTCCTCTTCTTCATGCTCGGATAGTGAAGAGGACAAGAAGAAGAAGAAGAAGAAGAAGAAGAAGAAGAAGACGAAGAAGAAGAAGAAGGATAAGGTTTGAGTTTACAATACGTCTGAATATTACATTTTGTGTACTTTTTCTGTTATTATACTGTGATTATACATCATTGTATCTTTCTCTTAACAGGACTCCTCGTCTTCTTCATGCTCTGATAGTGAAGAGGACAAGAAGAAGAAGAAGACGAAGAAGAAGAAGGATAAGGTTTGAGTTTACTCAAATTATATTACCTTTTTACACTTTTTCTGTTATTATACTGTAATTATATCATCATTGTTTTCTTTCTCCTAACAGGACTCCTCGTCTTCTTCATGCTCTGATAGTGAAGAGGACAAGAAGAAGAAGAAGAAGAAGAAGAAGAAGAAGAAGAAGACGAAGAAGAAGAAGGATAAGGTTTGAGTTTACTCAAATTATATTACCTTTTTACACTTTTTCCGTTCTTATAGTGTAATTATATCATCATCGTTTTCTTTCTCTTTACAGGACTCGTCCTCTCCTTCATGCTCTGATACTGAAGAGGACAAGAAGAAGAAGAAGAAGAAGAAGAAGGTAAAACATGTGAAAACCTAATGGATGTCCCGCTCCTGATGCTCATATGATTTCTAATGGATGCAATAAAGCAACTCACTGATATCTTCTTTCTAGAAGTCCTCTTGCGCTGAGAGTGATGACGACAAGGTGAGATGACAAAGACGCACAAATATCATGGTCCCTACTCAGGGAAAGAGTTTAACCAAATTTACAAAGTCATGACGTCATGTTTTTTACTTTAGAAGAAGAAGAAGAAGAAGAAAGATAAGAAGAAGAAGAAGAAAAAGAAGGTGAGAATCTTTCATTGCAAGTAGTGGATGATTGTATGAGTCTGTACTTCCTATAAAAAGTATTATTGATGATCATCGGCCATGAAAGAGCTCAATCACCTCGTCGGCGTCACGACTCAACACTGTCTGAGACACACTGTGTGGATCCAGCGTGTATCACCATCACTCCTTCTTCCTCCCAGGATTGTTCCTCTGGATCGTCCAGTGATTCGAGTGATAATGACAAGAAGAAGAAGAAGAAGAAGAAGAAGAAGAAAAGGAAAGATAAGAAGAAAAAGAAAGACAAGAAGAAGGTAAAATAACGTGTTTCATTTGTCCAATGCAGCGTCCTGCTTCATACATTTATATGTTTGTATCATGATGGGATGTCCTTCATAATACAGTAACAATTAAACCATATTTGCATCCGTCAAGGACTCCGATTCTTCTACCAGTGCTGATGACAAAAAGAAGAAGAAAGACAAGAAGAAGAAAAAGAAGGACAAAAAGAAGGTCAACTATTTTATAGAAAAGACAAACGCGTGTATGTTGATTTTTATTGCGTAACAAAACATGGCTGACGGAGGTTTCCATGTTTAATATTTGAGCAGGACTCAAAGTCCAGTTCATCGTGTCCATCTGACGGCAGTGACAAGGAGAATAAAAAGGACAAGAAGAAGAAGGTGAGATGCTCGTGCAATGTGACTATCATCAGATGATATAATGGAGGCGGTTCAAATTACATCATTTTTTTTCTGTTTGCCCTTCAGAGGTCTGGTTCATCAGGAAGTGAAACTGACAATAAGAAAAAGAGGGTAAGTTTTCTCTTAATATTCCTGACGTCGTCCCTCGCTGTCTTTTCCCCCGCTGTGCCTCCATTCCCCATGTGCACCTCCCTCCATGTCCGAGGTTACGTGCGACGGTTCTGGAGACAGACGGTGTCACACGTGCAAAGATTGTAAAGCCCTCTGGGGCAAATATTTAATTTGTGGATTTGGATAAAATTGCAGGAATGCTCTGATGGCGAGCGAGGCGGCGAAGATCCCGGTGCCGGTCGGGCCGGACTTTCAGCTCCCGGTGGCAGCTGCTCTACGCCTGCCGCTGCTCCCGCCGTCCCCTACGTGTCCCTCCCCTCCAAACCTGTTGTGAAGATGGATCCTCTGCGTCCTTCAACTGTCTGCCGGCCCTCTGCCCCTGTCTCCTCTGCCCCCGCCTCTTCTGCCCCTGTCTCCTCTGCCCCCGCCTCTTCTGCCCCTGTCTCCTCTGCGCCCGCCTCTTCTGCCCCTGTCTCCTCTGCGCCCGCCTCTTCTGCCCCCGCCTCTTCTGCCCCTGTCTCCTCTGCGCCCGCCTCTTCTGCCCCTGTCTCCTCTGCGCCCGCCTCTTCTGCCCCTGTCTGCTCTGCCCCCGCCTCTTCTGTCCCTGGGTCCTATGTCCCTGGGTCCTTTGTCGCTGGCTCCTATGTCCCTGGGTCCTATGTCCCCGGCTCCTCGAGTGTTGGAGATAAGGCCCCCAATCGTAGGCCTCCCAGCCCCATGGAGGCCCTGATGGGGAGCCCGAGGCGGTACGGCTCCTCCCATCTCAGCTCAAGCGACCTATTGAAAGGCCCCAAGCCTTATCAATGATGAGATCAAAACACGCGTTACTCGTGTTTCCTTTTAAAGCAACTGGAGGATGTCGACCATGAGAGGAGATATGATTCCTTGATTTCATGCTGGATAAATGTGATGACTGGTGGAAAAACGTATTGTGACACGATGAAAATGTCCAAGATGAGAAGTATAATCCAAACATGGAAAGTCACGATTGTGTTTTTAATCAATAAAGCGCACATGTGTAATAATACTACAGTCTTCTATGTGTTTTGTTTCATGTCTCAGGTTTATGCTGCCTTCAGGGGGCTTCTGAATAAAGGAGGAAATGGCAATATAGCAAACAGATGTTTTGGCCGTATCAGATTCATATAGCAATTGAAATGAACTACTAACTGAAAAGACCTATAAGGGATCCAGCGTTACTTTCATCTATACACTATAATTACACCACTTCATATGATCCAATCCATAGCATTTATAATACCTAACATATGTGGAAAAAATATACTGTTTAAACATTTCATTTCATTTGTAAGCGCATCATTTAAATGTACTTAACATGTTTCCCTCCTTTTACGATTCCCACATTTCAGAAAGAGATATTTTACTTTTTACTCCAATGAATTTATCTGTTTGTCGGAGTTACTACTGTTGATAATTTGCAAATTCGCGAACCCTGAAAGCTAAATCATGTGTTACTGCATAAATCACACGTAATTTCCTAAAAACATTGTCATTTAAAACACACACATGAGACATTCTGAGACGGGCTCCTCTGCATAATGCTGTTCAATGCTTTGCTTTACCTGTATCGATGTGGTAATAATGCGAGTGCTGCTGTCAGCTTTTATAACCCTCGCGTTCTGCTTTCATTAGCTCATTAGCTATTTATAGCATCAGCTCCCTCCAGATGTGTCTCCGCATTAAACAACCTCTGCAGGCCCCTGTTGTTCGCGCTGAACCGGGACAGCGTTCTGGTTCCGCACACAATCCCGAACCGGAAGCTTGAACCGAGAAGTCGCTTCTCCGGGTGAACGCGAACGCCGCGTGACGTAACACAAAAGGTGCGGTCCCCGGCGCGGGCGCGGCGGTCGCGTGACGCAGCAAGGTCACGTGTTCCAGGTGTGGTCCGCGGCCGGTTTTCTCTGTGCGTGTGTATGTATGTGTGTGTGTGCGCGCGCGTGAGTCTCATTTGTTTGGTAGCGCGTCCAGTCACGGAGAGGATCCCCGATCATGTCTTTCGACCTGTCTGCAGGTACGCGCCACCTTATGCCGACTGCTTCACGGGGAATGCTTGGGATGCGATGTTTGAGTGACTGATGTTCGTCCCCGTTGAATTTAATGTTTAAATATTACGCTCGCTGAGGAGCGACAGGTGTTTTAGGCCCGACAGGTGCGGGGATTTCCACCCGACAGGTTAATCGACGAGCTGCGCTTGCGTTAGAAATCAAATGTTTAGTTCGTAGCTGCTGATGTCTGAGAGTCTTTGCCCCCCCCCCCTCCTGTGTCTCGTGCAGCTGTTGGTGGGAGTGAAGATGTGGTGAAGAAGGAAGAAGCTCAGAAGGATGAGATCTCATGGCCCTGGAACAAGAACAAGGATAAGGTATTGGGTCGTCGTGGTGCAGGGGTTAGAGAAGGAGTGCTGGGAAGCACAAGGTTGGTGGTTCGAGTCCAGGCTGCTCCATGTTCCATGTCGAAGTGTCCCTGAGCAAGACACCTATCCCCTAATTGCTCCCCAGGCAAAAAAAAGCCATGGGTTTAAAGTGTAATGTAAGTCGCTTTAGATAAAAGCGTCTGCTAAATGACCTGTAATGTAATGTAATGTGGTTTATATGTGTAACCGTTACATACTAACACGGCTGAACTGACTGCGTGTCTCCAAGTTCTCAGAAGTAATATTTAACAAATGCTTCTGTTAAATTTGTCTGCCGGCTCCACTGTGGCCAATGTGACCCTTTAGTGTTGGTCGATTCATCAGGGTCACTGGAGTTCAACACTTGAGAATAAACGGGTGCAATCCATGATTTTATTCAAGGTTATCTTTTGACGTTTTTTTTAGGAGGGCAGCAAGGGAAAGTCCGGCAAAGACGACAAAAAGCACGAATCTGGCAAGGACAAGTCCGACAAGAAGCACGAATCTGGCAAGGACAAGTCCGACAAGAAGCACGAATCTGGCAAGGACAAGTCCGACAAGAAGCACGAATCTGGGAAGGACAAGTCCGACAAGAAGCACGAATCTGGGAAGGACAAGTCCGACCAAAAGCACAAGTCAAAGGACGGGGAACACAAGAAGAAAAGGGACAAAGGTGAAGGAAACCAATCTGGCTCTTCCTCATCGTCGTCCTCCAGCAGTGACGAGGTAAGACGAGCTCTGCAGTTGCTTTTAAAAAAATACAGAATCTAAAGATATTTATGACCTGCCGGCGTCCCCTGAAGGCTCCTCCAGAACCTTTTGAACCGCTAAAAAGCGATAAATTGCAGCCCAACCGGTGAGATACCGGCCGCACCTCGGGGGCCAAAGGTCAATGTGCCTGGAACAAGGTCTGACACGAGGCTGGTGGAACAGGTCCGGCCCTCAGCACCAGTTCTGAATCCGGTGTGACACAAACAAACATTCCACACTCGCTTTCAGCTCGTCCACCAAAACTCGTCAAACTCGGATCTCTTTTCTCTCTCTCTCTAGCCGTAACTGTGTCCACAGAACATGTCTGTTGTGTTCACGTGAATAACCGGTTTACCACGCAGGTTACAGCCAGAGGGGGAAGCACCACACCTCAGGGCGGGAAGGATGGGGGGGGGGGGGGGGGGGGGGGTATAAGAGAGGAACTGGGACCTCCAAAGGAAACAATAGACTATTTGCCACTGTGGAATCTGAAATAAGCAAATCCCATTCAAAGTGTCCCTTGCTGCTCAGAATGCCTGCTGCCTAAATGTACACTAAAATACGTGTTCTCATTAGTATCGGTAGGTATAAAGTATCACGCTGTAAATACACATCTGTATTCTGAATTCTTGCTTGGTTGTCGTTTCAGGAGTGATGCTTCCAGCGCCGATGGTCTCTTCTAACCTCGTCTGTGAAGCAAAGTGACTGTGTGCAGTTGTACCGACGTTCCTTCCTCTTGTTGATGTATAAATAAACCTGATTGAACGCTGCTTCTCGCCATAAACTTCCTGTGTTGCTTAAAGTGTGTTTATTCCACCACAGCGGCGTGAAAAACCCTCACCAAGGTCGCTGTTTGTCGCTGCACGCGTTTATAATTGTCCGGATCGTGTTGAGATAACCCCCCCAAAAAATGAGTAGTCTGTCTTTAGAAAATGTACATGAATAAATCAGTTAAAAAAAAATGATTAGAAAGCTACAAAACTTCAGAACAGTCGTCATGCTGCGGACGACGTTTCATCTCCACCTGTAGGCGTGTGTTCTGAGCAACGCGTGGATCCTCATCCTGCTCCAACGTTTGTCTGTTAAAAGGAACAGGATGCTGCTGTCAGGCCCGACGGCATTTTGCCCTCAAGAGAAAATAATTAAAGTGGACATGTTTTTGTTCCAAAGCAAACATGTTGTATAATGTGAACGTTCAGTCCCAGCCTTCTCCAGGGTGGAGTAGGAGTAGCATTCTACCCCTCATAACCGTAACACTACACTGGGTGAACGCTCAAGGGGAGCGGCGGTTTGGGGGGCGGGGTTAGGCTTGAATCACATGCTTGAGGTGTGGCTAATCCAGGTACTTAAGTTTGAGTCCGTGTGGTCACTGTGGTTTGTGAACAGGAGACACGATGGATCGCGCAGGTAAGCTCAATTTGACTGAACGTACTTAAGATCAACACCTTGAATACGTGTCTTTGTTGACTAAAGTAACACGTTTTACGCCTGGTAAATCGTCGCAGGCCGCAGGATTTAACAGCCGTTACTCCCATTTCATTACTCGCCAAAGGGGCTTTGGAATATATTTTTAAATGTACATTCATGTGTCAGAAAGTTGTATCTTATTTGCAGCCGTTCTCTTTTATTCTAACCCGGTTTCCCTTTTCATTCTGACCCGAACAGGTAAAAAGGACAAGGTGAGAGATTTGCATGTTTGCTTTATTATCTGAGTGATTAGTGATTCTGTGACGTCACAAAGCGTCTCTTTGAACGTCCTACCGCTGCATTATTACGACCAGTGCACTCGAACCTCTATCGCTGTGACAACGGCGACACGATCAATGATCCGGTCCACTTTTGCACCCCCTTAGGGAGAGTCCAAGGGGAAGAAGGACGACAAAGCGTCCAAGGAGAAGGGCGGCAAAGACAAAAAGAAGGACGAGGAGAAGAAGAAGAAGAAGGCGAAGCCTGAAGGGAAAGGCTCCGGCTCCTCATCTTCAGACTCTGACGAGGTAACACACCCCAACCCCCCCAAACCTGATTTCAAAGGGTGGCAGTAAAGTGTGTCACAACACGCCCTCCTGTGTGTCGTTTTCTTCCGTTGCGTCTGTTGCCACAACGATTCCACGAGCTGCGACGACCTTTCTGAGTAACAGCGTTGTCCTTTTTGTCGTTTCAGAAGTGATGTTGAGGCGGGAAGGACATCTCGTCTCTCGCGATCACGTCCACAAACAAAATGAGTCCTGAGTAGCGCCAAAAGTGTCGTGCTTGTGTGAACAGACATGCTGATTCTGTCAAAATAAAGTTCATTTTCTCACCACAAGATTGCAGTGTTTTATTCATTTTTAAGATTTATAATTGAAGATCTGGAAGCTGGCTGGGATCGACTCCCGTCCCCCAGTGTGCAGGATGGGCCGTTTGACGATGGATGATTGAAGAGTACGAGCGATGTTTCATAATACATTTGAACTGTTATGGTGTCAATATAAAACTCACGTAAGTGTCGGAGTAAAACAGTTTTCCCGTCGTAAACGTAATGCAGTAAAGTCCAACGCTGTGTAAGGTGGGAATACTCAAGTACAGTAGTTTTATTATTAAAAACTGCAAGTTACAGTGTCTCCTTGTAATAAGGTGAGTAAACGTGGGACTAAAAATACCGTTAACTTGTCAGTTTTGTCTTTAGAAAGTTTGTTAAAAACAACGGATGACCGAAAGCAAAAAAACAAAGCAATAAATCATAATTCTCACGAGCCGTGAAAAAAAAAAAGGCCCGATGAATTGTGACCAAAAAGAAAAAAAGCAGCAACAGCAAATGCAATGAACATTACATTGCAGCTCCATGTGACCAGAAGCTCCATAAAAACATCCCCACCAAACTGAAGTGTGTTTGTGTGCGTTTGTTTGGCCCAAAACAAAAGGGAAACCCCCCCAGGAAGCCAAGCAAAATGGCCGCCACTTTCTCGGTTACTTTTAGTTGAACTAAAAAGTAATCAAACTTAATGTCTGCAGCGGCGTTCCTTCGGTGACGTACATTTCTAAGCCGCAATCGAGCTGCAGACACGTCGATTTCGATTTCCTAACGCGAATGACAGGAGATCTTAAGTTCTTTTCGGAAAACTGTGCACTGGGGCCTAATCAGCTGCTGCAAACATGACGTCAATATGAACGGGAAAATATATACCAATATAATATATCCTCAATATAAGAAACTCCACTCAAACAATATACACACTTCAGGCTTTCCTTCTTCAAAAAAACGACTATATAGTTCCTGCTGCTCAGAATCGGCCACGGTGCCGGTTGATTCCCTTTGAATCTGTGATTCAAACCTGTTTACCATCTGTTTCTTTTGCATGCGTGCGGCTGCGAGTGAAGAGGAGGTGAAGAAGGAGGAGGCTCATCAAGATCGGTTCCATTGGCCCTGCAGCAAAGACAAAAGGATGAGGTAGGAGTTCATAAATATCACACATAGTTCACGACTTGAATCAACTTGCAAACAAAGCTCGAAAGTTGCTCACAGGTTAAATCTTCAACTGGCAGAATCCGGTTAATTAATAAAGCAACACAGGGAACGTCTGGCAAAGACGAAAAGGTCCGACGAGAAAGAACAGGTCGCATCCCGACCGATCCTGGAGGGGGGCAGATAGGGGGAGTCATGCAAGAGCTGTCTCATCACTTCAATGGAAGTCAACGGTTAAACCTGTCACGGTCCGACTGGTAACATTCCTGCCCCAGAAATAAAAGTATTTTTGATGTTGTGGCTCAGGCTGGTGGCCAAACAAAGTAAGATGCTGAATGACGTCTGATAAATCAACCGTCCGTATTTCTTCACCACAAGGTGGCAGCATTATCCCTCTTTTCGAGGTCAAACGTCAAAGAAGTTTTATTTGAAAAAAATCCCATTTACAGACCACAAAAAAAATATACAGGCGTGGTTATTTTGCAATTTGAATGTTTTTTAATCAGTTTGAACAATCATTTTTCATATCCAAGAATTGAGTTCACTGCAGTTCTTTTAAATAGCTCTTCAATTCAACTCAACTTAAAGTATCAAGTTAAATAGACTTCTGATAATGAAGACTGCCCCTTTGAAGTGTTGATACACTTTATTGCCTCAGGTTGAAGGAGTAAATACATTTGCATTGTATGAAAAGAGCAGTGACAGTTCAATATTTCTCTCTGAAGTTATTATCAATGGAGGTATAAGCAGTTTAAAGTGCAGTGCTCGAGTAAATACAGCATAAACGTGGTTTTAGTGTCCAAACAAAGCATAACCCGGGTACCTGAGAGCAATGAGCTCCGGCCAGGACGGACAGGTGAAGAGAATAACAGCATTTAGCACTGAAGATCTCTTTCTGCTCTTTTGAATCTTTTATGGGGGTGCAGAAAAAAAAAAGACGCAGTTCCAGAAAGGAATCAATAATAAATCAAGCGTGCATCTTTCTTGGACTGCTTGCTGAGGGGAAACCCAAGTTAGCCCATCCATCATGTTTCAACCTTTATTTCATTTTAGGGAATATTGAAGGGAGACATTAGTGGATGATTTACAACAGTGTTTTCTTACATTTATGAGATTCAAAGTGTCTATTTTCGGAAGGACACATTTTTCACTCTTCGTACAAACACAAAGGCCATCGTTCATTCAGCTTCAGGCAAAAGGAAACAGCCGATATCATCCCACATTAAAAAGCGTCACGCTGTTGAAGGTGGCGTGACGTTGAAGACGCAGAGAGAGAGAGAAAAAGGAAGGGAAATCCATAAACAATTAGTATTCATTACCAAAATAAAGTCGGAAGTAAACACTTTCTGCACTAACTACACGTTAACTCGACTTAGAACACTAAGTTAAACGCTGAAGACACCAAAGTCCCAGACAGACGTCCTCCATCCGAGAGGGTGAGCACATTTCCCTCCAAAGGCCGAAGTCTGCCATGGAGACGGACGCCACTGTGCCCGCCCACATGGCACCATCAGCAGCACCATCAGCAGCCCTCTCCGGCCCTCAGCGCAGCTGCCAGGCGGGTGGGACAGGAAATTGATTTATTTGGGTTTTGGACAACATGTCAAATAAAGCTGTTGCTTTTGGTGCTGAATGTTTTGATGGGCTTTTTGAGAATGTTTGTTTTATAAACAAAACGATTAATCGGGAGAATATCTAAAAAAGCAGCATGTATAAAATACAAATATTTTTTTATTACAGCTTTAATGAGAAGGTGGAACGTAAAAGCCAAATGAAACAGACATTTGGAAAGCCAGCGTTTTGTTCAACCAAAAATAACGAGAAACAAAGGCAACATATTCTATAAAATCCAACAAAAGCAAGCAGCCTTAAGATCATCCAACTTCAGCTCAATTTAAGGCCAAACAATTATTAACATCTGTTAACATCTGCAGGGCCAAACGATGAAGGCAGGGATTTGGGGCACGGCCCCAATCGCGTCTTTTCATTTCGCTTTGTCTGAAAAAACAGGTTGGAGGAAGATAAATCTGTACCTTTTGATCTCTAGATGGTTTTCTCAACTATCACCTATGCGGCAAAAATGTGTAGTACATGCTACACAATCACATGCAATGACTTCATTCATTGAGATAAAAGGGGCACAGTTACAAAGCGTTACCGCCCTGATGTGCACACTGCAGATTATGCAAAGGACTGATCATCAAAGTCCAGTATGAAGGCAGAAAATACTTTTTTTTTTGCAATTCTGCGCAGAGCAGCACTCTGCAGCCTTGTGTCTAATTCTATTATTCCATTGATTCACTATTGCAGCCCAATGTTCAAATGTATCCACGTATCTGCGTAAACCACGTCCCTATAAATAATTCGAATCCGTCGGTCGTTGTGGAGTCGCACCGCAGGGGGGCATGAATGTCTCCCCCCCCCCTCCTCCCCCCTTGTGCTCTCTCTCTCTCTCTCTCTCTTTCTCTCGTGCACGTCTGGCGTCAGCGGTCTCCTAGCAACAGTCAGGTCCGTCTTAATCATCCGCTGGTGAGCGCGGTCATGCCGCACAGGCGCACCACCTACAACAGGAACCCAGGTGGGTTTAACTACAAAATAAAAGCACGTTTAGTTGCAGGTGTGTTTACTGTACCTCTGGCTGATCCCTGGCTGAGTATAATCGATCCCTCCGGTTTCACTGGAGTGGAGCGGATTTATTTCATCGATGAATGCAAGAGAAATGTTGCAGTTATTGTTGAAAGTGATTGAGATCGATTTTTAATAACTTGTAGTGACATTTCACAATAAGGATTTCACAAATGTTACACGTTCACTTGGATTTTTCCTGTTTTTGTTGTGGAGAAATGACTTTTCGAAAGGCGCGGAGGTTCAACTCTGACTGACGGACACCGACGCGCCTCAATAAGAATAAACAGTAACCTTTAACCTTTCCTCCTACCACCTTGTGACGGGGACAGCCTCGAGGGTTTTTTTATTTTGAAGGGAAAAAATGCCCCCCCCCCCCAAAAATCAACAGGAAGTTGCCTCGCGTCCAACCCCGCGAGCTTTGCTCGCCGCGGCAGAGCAGACGAGGCACCATGGAGCGCCGCGAGACGCGTGGGAGAGACGCACCGAGCCGACGGGACGAGGGACAGTTTCTGAGCACTTTGCAAGTCACTTTCGGGGACTGTCGGGCGTATTTATAGCGCGCCAGCAGGTGGACTGTTGCGTCCCCTCACCCCCACCCTCCCCCACCCCTTCCCCTCTCCACCCATCACCCCCCTCCCACCCATCACCCCCACCCCCTCCGCCTCAAACGCGTGGACAAATTGCGCGGACGGGTCCATGAGAGACAAGGGCGGAGCGCGCCCGTTGGATGGACACATACCTCCACCCCTCACTCGGAACGTTTCACCCCGTCTTTCGGGAAGCGTCGCCGGCGCGCGGCGCGTAAAGAGACCCCGCGGCGGGCTGCGCCCATGTCTCCCGGCACCGGGAGGACCTGTTACTTGTCGCCCGGGGAACCGTGAGCCGAGCTGAGATCGTGGTTCCGTCGGGCCGAAGCGGAGGACCGGTTGAAGGAGCCATGGTGAAGTTCCATAACTCGGACCTCTGGATAGCCTGGACGCTCCTGGTCTGCACGGAGGGTGAGTGCCGCGCAACTTGTGAGCTCGCAACAACAACAACAACAACAGTCAGTAAATAATAATACCAATAATGATCTTCATAAAAACAGGCGCGTGCATCGTTTCTCTCCCGCTTACCGATCCGCCCGCGTCGCTTTGGTGCAGAAAGAAGAAGAAGAAGAAGAAGAAGAAGAAGCTGTGTTTGGGATGAAATTGTGGCACGAGGTCAAACTCTCCATCCTGAGAGCGCGTGCGTGTGCGTTTGATCCCCCCTCCTCCCTAATGCTGTATGTTTGGATCAGGCAGACAAATCCCTGGCGTTTTCACAAAAACTAAAGCGCCGATTTAGGATGACTTTTGTCCCGGTAAATCGTGTCATCTCTACCGAACGTGGCCCCGAGGGGCCCCGGTTTCACGGCACGGGGAGTCACATGAGCACTTTCCCCTCTTTCTTTTCGCATCGTTCTTTTGAGCACGGGGAGGAAGTGCCGTGGTTAAGGGTGGTGATCAGAAAGCGCAGGAGGGGGGAAACTCCAAAATGGAATCACGGTCCAATCCGATCGTTTGAGGAGCGCGCGGCACAGTTTCTCTCTTCTCTTTGTCTAAATTTGTAATGCAACAATGTGTCATTATGTTGTGACACAAGGGTCATGTGCGTTACTTGTAGTTCAGGTAAAACATTAGAACGTTTGAATAAAAAATTAATGAAAATATATAATTTAATTTATTTAAAAAAGTACTTGAAAAAATAATATGATGTATGATGAGTAAATATTATTATGATGGGAATGAATGAGTTCATTGAACTTTCTTTCAAAGCGTCTACAAATCAATTAAAAACTAAAATTAGCAAAGTAAAGCAGGAAAAAGTACTCAGAGCTCCATGTCTGGACACACAGCGCATTTCCACTGTGCCACTCCAACACACACACACACACACACACACACACACGCACACACACACACACACACGCACACACACACGCAAGTCTGACATGTCGATTTGGACGGAACAATTGTGTGAGATTGAATTCAGTCCCCGTCGTCCAGGTGTTTCACTCCGCTGCTCAACCCTGTGAGCGGTTGTATGGTGTCCTGTCAGCTTCATTCAGGGTTACACGCACGCACACACACACACACACACACACACACACACACGCCTATTTATTTCAAATATGTCTCTTCTGATCAAAACGTTTTTTTAAATGAACAACTGCTTAACACTCGTTTTCCACCGCGACTGATTTACATCTGCATCCGATTCCAACAACTCATCGCGACCTGACGAGCAACGGCCCGTCCGTGGAGCGCTCAGAAGAAAGAACACAATGTGAAGCCCGCTGGTGGCTTGTTCTGTCTGACCTCCACTCTCACATCCGATCGCTGTGATCCGATCGCCGTGTTAGCCGACACGCGATTGTTTGTTGTGGTTGGTTCACCATGAAGTTGCTATTTGGCTTGATGGAAGCCAGCAGTTCAACTTTACATTCAAGCTCCGCAGTTTAGGAGCCGAGTGCTGCTGCTACTCGGGGGCCGGTTGGCGGGGGGGGGGGTTCTGTGTCTCGCTCAAGGACACTTTGACATGCGGACAATAGAAGCTGGAGAACCGAACAGCGTGTCCTTGTGGTTAAAATACGGCCCACTGAACCCACACAGCCGACCTGCAGCCAACATCGGAGCAGGTGGGGGGGGGGACAGGCCTGTAAAACGGGGAGCGGCTGTGACGGGAGGAAGTCAAAGTGACTCTGCATTAGTTGGAGGACATCTCGCCATCTCGCCTCCCCAGTCACACATGAATATTGCATCATCTAGAGACGTTGGAGGAAAAAGTCCGATGTGCAGCGCTGGAAACACTCTGAAGGAAGTTTTGCGAAAGTAGAGAGAACCGACAGTGGTTCGGCTGTTGTCACGGCGACCCCCCCCACTCACCCCCCCATCCTCTCCCCCCATGGCGACACCAACACAAGAGCGGCTCTGTCCGCGACTTAACGATTCAGCCAGAACAACCCCCGAGGGGACGGCAGGGACTGATCTGGGGGTCCAATCAATTTTTGTAAATTAAATCCAAGCAGAGGTGGTGGCTCTGAACTTTGTCTGTTTGTTTTGGTTGTTTGCTTGTGTGTGTGTGTGTGTGTGTGTGTATACACACACCATTCTAAATTTACATACGGAGAAATGTTTGGATTAGCCTCTAGACCCGAATGCCACCGCTCTGTGTTGTTTGAAACGAAGGGTCCAGGCAGGAGGAATAAAGGCCGACAACACGGGATGTTCTTTTTTCAATTTTATTTTCCGAAGCTCGTTGAGATTCACCGCGGCATCAAAGCTGAACTCCGACCGCCCTCTCGTCTGCACTTTCAGCGTGAGCGGCTTAACCTTTTGAGAATGGACCAAAGTCCTGGTGTGAAATGAAACGGCGAGCCTGGTCTGATGGTTGTGGACGCCGCGGCCTCCTTTGCTCACTTTGCTCAATGCATTTCCATCACATTATCAGTGCTGATGGGCTCTGGAGGAGTTGCAGAGTGAAATGCATCCAATGAATCAAGAGAAACAGTTATATCATTCAATAACTGTAACCGGTCAAATGAAACATTTGCAAATCAGCAAATTTGTTTACGGTTTGTTGCCTCTTCCCCGCTGAGGAATCACCGGATGACGGATGAGAGAAACGGACAAGAGCTTTGAAAAGACGAGGAGAAGTTCTAAGGAGGTTGAGAGAGCTCAGCTCGTAACCCCGGGCAGTCTTTTCATTAAAAAAAAAAAAAGACATGTGACGCAGCACGCATCCGACTTTAGAGTCTAAAACCCCCACTAATGCAGAATGCATATGATGGAAAATCCCGTCTGTGTCAGTTTTATCTGATAAGTAATGACCCCCCCCCCTCTTCTTTCCGCCTGCTGCTAAAAAGGAGCAGCTGGAACAAGAGTGTCGGACAGATGGAACTTTCCACCTCGATTATTTTTCCCGCTAAAAATAGCTTTTCAAAAATTAAAGACCCCCGAAGACGGAAGAGAAGCGCTCGCAAAGTGCACTCGCGTGCGTGCATGTGTTTGAGCGACAGAAACTTCAGACGACGACGACGGGGTCCTCAGATGATGGCGGCGGGAGTGTGAATGAATAAATGATGGGGAGATATTTGAAGGGGGAGAGCGCAGCGCTGCGCCCACGGTCCCGCGGTCTCTTAAGCACACATTAAACTAGGCCCCCAAAGAGTCGGGCAGGCTGCTGCGCGGCAGTTGGCCAAGCATCTGATGTGGTCGCCTCAGAGGTTTTGGGGTTGGTTGTACCTTTTCTAATGAGAGCGGCGTGCGTGGATCGTTTGCAGGGAGCCCGTAGGGAAGCTCAAATGTGATCAGATGTTTTTGGATTTGGGTTAAATGACTTAAAAGGAAGCAGGGTTTTGCTTATCAGAACCAAAGCTGCTCCACGCACGCTTTTCCGACCTGTTTTAGATTCCGGTTTTTCATCCATAACCCCTAAAGTGGCCGACCCTTTGCTATCCAGTAAAATTCATTCATCTAGGACGGGCAAAGTGTCACTGCGGCATCTCTCTGTGCAGAGATTTCCACTTTCATTTTATAACACGCAGGACATTTCATCCGTGAGTCAAGATAGTTGCAGCAACAGTGTGTGTTGCAGTACTGCAGTACGCACATTTCTCTCAGTGTGTTGGAGTCACAAAGAGATAATTGTCCTGTGGAGGACAGAAGTTGGGCTCTATTGCAAGACCAGACTATAAAATAAGTGGTTGTGAAACCAATGCTGAAGCGCATCAAACGTGCATTCTTTCTGATAGCTTTTGGGGTCGACTCCTCCGGTTGTGAAGAATATAGAAAGTCTTTTTTGTCCTTTGGTAAATGATGGTCCCTTTAGCTCCAAATATGTCTCCAAAACAAAATGCAGCGGCTAAAATGCCAAACGTGCGGCATCGAAATGATAGTCGACAAACGGGGGATTTCACAGTGACTGCGTCCATTTTTTAATGCAACCCGTTGAAAAGAGCACAAAGCGCACGACTCGTTCACATGCTTAAGGCTGTTAAACAGGATCTTGACAGCGGATCACACCTGTCGGTTGCATTGAAGCTCATTTTTGGTGTGATTTTTGGGAGCACGGCCACGCCTCCAACGCGCCTAATCAGGTATCCACCCACTCACAGTCATATCGCTCACCTCTCGCAAATAAAATACGGCGGGGTCCTTGCTGGTGAAACCTTCTTAAATGGACTTGCCTTTGGAGTGTGTGTGTGCTTCTGAGAAGATCCCTGAGCTTATACATATTTGAAGCCTCCTCCTCCTGCTGTGGCACCTGGAAGACGCTCTCCTTGGAAACGAGCCGTTTTGCTTGGCCTGCTCTGGAGGTTTGACGGGATCTCTGCTGACAGGACTCCTCCATTACAGGCGCTGGGTGCATGCAGATGTGACATTAAGAGAGGAATAAAACTTAAAAGAGCTGTTGCAATTGTTCAGCTATCAATGCGTTTCGGGCTGCTGCATAAGAATAAATTTGCGTGTAGCAGTTACTTGCTGTTGAGCGTTGTCTCCAAGGCTCACAATGAACAGAGGGGCTCTTTCATTCCGCGAATCCCACAAAGTCATGAGTGTGAGTCAGACTTCCTGAGGGGAAGTTTGTACCCAAAACTAATTTCGGACATCAACTTTTACTCCATCTGCACCAAAAACTACAGTTACATATTGTTTTTTTTTTCCCACCGACTACATAATAATTATGGTTTGAACGTCCGTCACAATATTACATTCAGATCCGGAAATTGATCAATTTCAACCTCCTTCCAAACGGCAATCGCTTTTAAATTGTTTTTCAAAGAATTACATTCAACCCCAAATGTTATTATCATATTTATACCTTCTTTATTTCTCCTTACCGACCATGAGGAAAATAATCTGCTCAATTTCACATCGGCAACACCGAAAGGAGTCCGTTCATTAACGTGTATTTTGCAAAGAACGATTGATTGATTTATTGCCGCTCTCAGTCAGTGTCTCCTCCTGAGGGTTCC